GTCGCGATCACTGAATCATATCTGTAGCAAAAGCACATATCAAGTCCAAAGCCAGCCAGAAGTACTCGCGGCTCAAAACCAACATGCAACGTGCCAAAGTCGGGTCTGTCCAACGCACCGCTCATTGTCGGGTGCGTCTGGCAAGAGCGGTGGGGCCAGTGCTAGACAAGGAGGTGATTCATGGACGTAGGCATGACCCAACAAAACTCGCGTGACAACGAGCATGCGCTCGCCATCGAGTCCACCGTAGGAGTACTGATGATGACTCTAAAGTCATACACAAAAGCGCATCTGGCATCAGAACAGCGGCGCATTCCGATCAAACCAGTCGCAATTTCAAACACCACCTTGCCAAAAATGGTCGGCCAAGTAAACACCGAAATCAAAACCGGTGGCTCGCGCGGCTACCAGCAAAGCGATGGTTGAGGCCAAAGCGCACAATCTTGTCCAGCAGGAATCGCTCGGGCGTGATGCAGCCAGTGCTCTTGACAGGTTGTCTCTCGAAGCAAAGCTGGACAGCCAGAGAGCACATCCGAGGTGGTGGTTACAAGTCGAATATAGTGCTCCTGACTTGTGAGGCGGTACCACATCTCCCGTCGCTTGCTGCTGTACCGTTCCCACAGCATGGGGTTCTGCACACGCTCCACCCGCTGCACTGCAATGTTGCTTGGTCCTTGCCTGTCCGTGCTCAGCTGCTGAGGAGTTCAGCCACCTAGCCACACAATAAATGCATCAGTCGAGACGATACCTTGGTTTGCACATGGTCATTTGCTCGGCCGTGTCTCCAGAGTGCCAAGCTTGATCGTGGAATAGGCTGCCAAGGGCGCTGGTCGTCTCGGCCAAGAGTCGATGGATTACAACCGCCGTCGTCCAGAAGGTCGCGGCGTACCCCAAGCGTTGGCCGATACAGGTACGTTGTCGTTTGTCGACGAAATACAGCATAGTCGTCGGGCGTGTCCAGCCTGCCCCGCTTCTCCAGCCAGCTGCTCAGCCTGTGCTCCAGAAGATTGCTCAGCAGCAAATAGATGAGAATCA